CAGTAAAAATAACAAGTGAACGGGCACGTAAGCTCAGAATGCAACAACACCAACAAGAGCAGAAGCAACAATAACAAGAATAACAACAAGAACAACAAACAACAACATCAGCAACAGCGACAACAACAACAACAACAGAACAACAATATAATCCATTGACAGTATAATTCTGAGTCTGTTATGCCCGTCTGAATGTCCATAAGGAACGGAAAAGTGAGGTGGGTATGAAGTATTGATTCAGTTTAGCGGCCTTTTATGAGGCGTATTTAGAACCTGCCCCAAAACTATGACGTAAGAATTTTCTTACTATTGTTATTTCATGTCCACCCATTTCATGAAAACTTCTTCATCTTCCTCTTCTTTTTTCACTGCGATACATAAGAGATACCGTTAGATACCCCCAAAATTGATCTTCATTGATCCGGGAAAACTGAGGAAACTGGTGTCACATCTCAATATAACAACTCCGTCTGTCTAGCTCTTGATTGCAGGCCGCACGGAATTAGCTTTTTTGTCTAAGTTTTTCCTCTGTAAATGATCTTACCTCAGTAGAAAGTACCGTTGGTTGCAGAAGCTTGCATTATTTATGGTGTGATTAGAACTGTCTCTATTCGACGGCTTTCTTGGCTGGTTTTTGGACTCTAAAATGGACTCTAAAAGATATTCTTCGGACGTCAGTGGAAATGGGTGAATGCGGGTTGACATTATCAAAATTGTGTTGGGGGAATGAAGAGAGTAATCAAACAAGCTGGTGGAGAAATCATTTGTACCGTGTTCAAAATATAATTTTGAGTACTATACTTCTGTTTATCTCGAAAATTTTGAACTCTTCGCATTGTTATTGTGAAGACATCTACACTAAACATTCTACAAAGTGAACCAACTGCAAATACAACAAAAATGCTGCTCCTATGGATAAGAGAAAGAAAAATATAATACTTCATAATACGAACTTATTCCATTTTAAAACGTGTTAAATGAATAACCGGGTTCAACAGTAAACGCGAGTGTTTTTTTGTTTTTTTTGGACAGATCTAAACTTTGAAACACTTTTAAAACTAATGTTCTTGAAGAAATGCGCTCAACAGGGTTACATACACGTTGTGATACTAACCAGAAGGCGTCCATCTATAGGATAGACATGGATTTGTTTTTAAAAAGAAGAAAAAATACTAATGCTTCTTTAGCAAAAGACTGTACAATATTTCATGATAAGAAACTGCAAGTTTTGAATTTTCGGAGGAGTAAAAACGTTGCCACTCTACACAAACAGGTATC